AACCTGCGTAACTGTCCTTTGCTAAGTTCGTTGGAGTTCCCGCAGCGCCTTCAGTACCAAAGGATCGACCGATATACACCCTCCAGAATGAAGAACCCAGAAAGTAGTGACTGGAGGCGGCGCAGACATCGCAGTGGGCGGGATTGGCACCGCCCCAGCGTCCATTTATGGTCTGTTTTGTTGAAATCCTTGTATGTTATATTTTGTCCTACATCACCTTGATTGTACCATAACTGGTAAAACTTATTTTTGTGGCTCTTTCTGTCTGAGGAGCATCTTACACTCCATTAAGAAGGCTTGGCTATCTTTCAGAATGTTTTCTATGCACCACCCTAATTGAAACTACCTTCCTTTAGTAAAATATTTACTGTACCTTCTTACGTGCCAATTATGAGTTCTGGTTATCGGAGGGTATGGATATGAACCTATGTCTATGGCCTCACATACAAAAGATCCGAATCGATTTTTATTTAGAAAACACCTTTCACTATACATTGTTGTTTAGCACATAGTTAACGAAATCAGCTTTATTATTGCAACATGTCGAGTTGACTGTAATGCGAATCGTCTGCTATGGCGATCGATATTTGATTGTTACGAAAGAGGTTTTCAGTGATTGATTTTATTCGATCGGCAATGTTAATGATGAGGGAACAGAGTTTATGCGGCAGTGAGTTCATCTTGAGCTCCGGTAGTGATGAGATGTGCAAATGCCTTGTAGTCGACTTCGCCGCCCTCGATTGGTGGCTTACCCTAAACGACCAATCATGATTACCGTATTTTGATCTCAGACAAATCAGGGAATCCCATCAAGGCCCACCTTGTACATAGCCTTGATTTCTTCTTCATCTAGTGGTTCTCCTCGCTTGTTCTGAAGGATCTTTAACAATTCTTCCTCCTTAATCTTTCCACAATCCTTCTTGTCGAACATATTAAAGGCACCTATGATCGTTGCTTCGGGATCAGTTCCTGAATTACGCCATCGAGTCAACTTTTCGGTTGAATTAACAAGTAATTGAAAGAGTTACCGAACCTGTCAACCGCTCTCCGAACAGGGTAAGAAAGACAGTGAAGTTGATTGGTCCAGGGGCTTCCTTGATCATATCTTCGATTTGCTTGTCCGAGGCAATTTGTCCCATGACAGCATAGAGATCCTTGAGATCACCCTGAAAACTTTTACAAATGCTTTTCTATAATTTTGTAAGCAAGTACTGTAATTTTGTTAATCCGCCCACCTTGTCGATGATACCATCCTTGTTCTGATCCATGATACCGAAGGCCTCTTTGAATTCATTGATGGTCTTCTGATCGAATTGGGCGGCCTCTGATCCGGATCTCTTCTTGCTGGACTTCTTCTTGGCGGCCTTCGACTAAAATATGTTTACTGTGAGTCTACTTACAAGTATGTGGATAGCACCAAAGTAAGGTAAAACACTTACCATTGTGGATAGTTTGGTTCGCTACCAAGTAAGATACCTGAAAAGAAGAACTTTACACTAATACTTGGACCATGAATTATTGTTCGAGTAAAGCGGTATCAGTGTTACTAGTATGATGAAACGTAACGGCATACATGAGTGAAGACCAGTGAATGAGGGCCATAGCCACCCCAAGACACGACCAAGTAAACTAATGAAGATGGAGTAAAGTAAAGTAATCAATGCCGATAATCTGGAACGTGTATAGTTGAACTGAACGATAGCTAAAGAGAGAGGGAGAGCTTGAGCTCAACGATGAGGGTGGTCGAGCGAGCGTACGAGCGCTGTAACACCCTCCAATTTTTGCCCCCGCTGAGATAACCGGAATCCGCAAACATACGAATCCCCCGGCAGGTGGAAATGACGGAAGCAACGGCAAAGCTTGAGGGGAACCGAGTAAAAGAACGTGTGCTGACTGATTCGCTGAATCAACTAGCTGTTCCAGCTTGACGAAGAAGAAAAAAAAACGAGGACCACACATTGTGATAATACTGCCTGTATTACACCCAAATAAAAACAAGTTCATGAGAAATTACAATCACTAGAACTATTCTGTCCTCATGCAAAAAAACCTGACACGTTTACTCCTGGAATTACCCTGAAAAAGTATATTTAACGTATTTACTAAGGTGGATCCTACCCGCACTACTGGAAATCGTAAAAACTTTCCGCTGAAAATATTCCTACTTCCAAGTTAACCCTTTTTTGCAGAAAAATTTCTGGGACTTTGGTTCCGAAGGCGAGGGCAAAGAGAGCACAAAAAAGGACCCAAATATTTACAGTTTGTTTACATTCTCCCCCAACCACGACATCGACAATCATTTTCGGCGCAGATAAAGCTGAACTATGCAGAGAAGTATGTTTACGAGTAAACCTGGCAAATTCTGCAAACTTGTTGTGGAAATTCGCTTGATTACAGAGGTCCAGTCCTAGAATCTCAGTACGGAGAGATTGAGAGAATTCGTCTTAGATCGAACCTATCACCAATTTTTGGAGCAGTTATTATCTCAAGGTCTCAAGGACCGGGAGCCGGCTTAGAGGTGATCAATAGAGAAGTACAGTCAGTCAAAGGGAGAGCTTTTCACAAGCACTATTTGCTGAGCGGGGAGATATTACAAAACTACAAAAGAACTTGGCAATAATGCCCTTCGCCTATGCTTGCTTAAGCACTTTGCTCAACAGGTCCTGAAGTGACCATTCCCACAGGGTTGCGTAGAAAGTGGAGTTGGCGATACAAGTTTTCCTCTCCTGACAAGTTCCTGGGTCGAGAGGATTCGAAAGGTTGAAAGTCGAGTGGAAATGCACGGGCGCAACTGTCTTGGAACACTACCCTGTCCCTGCCTCAAAGAGCCACGGAAAGGGGACTTAATTGGCAGCAAGATAGATAAGATAGATAGAAGGAGTAAACTTGTAATGTATCACATTTTAGAGAGAATTACCACCGAGTATAAGCGGAATGAATTCAGACAGAGAGCGAACGCACATGGCAGTCTCTCGGACTGATGGAAGGTGGACCTTATGCTCAACATCGCCTCCAGAACCCGAGCGGACCCTCCTCGATCCTATACGTCATAGTATTACAATAAGATCAGATCAATTCCCACTCGATTCTTAGGATCACCACGACAAAAGGTAACCCACGGGTTCAAAAACTGGTGTGGATGATTCTGATAAGTTCACGGAATCCGTTTATTCCAGTTGTTTGGTGTAATCCGCGAGTAAGGAATAACTCCACCCAAGTCCAATGAGTAACTGGGCTTGTTTGTTTTTTCTTGAGTGTTTATTGTATTGTAGGAAGGTAGAGGAAGCATGATGAAAAAGCTACGAGGCTTGCAGTAATGCTTGAGGGTCTTGCTGAAAGAAAAAAACCTCCCTGGGAACATCCGTCAAGCACAGCTGAAGGGGCGTGCAAAGGTTGCTATTACAACTAAATGCTCAAAGAAAAACTTTGGAAAAAAATAAACTTTGATGACGACTACTGCAGTAACGATATGTTTCGATGGATTGGAAGAATAATGCGGACGAGTGTAGAGAGCAGTGTATCCCGTATGGCGGTGGTTAGTCGAATCAGGGGTGGGGATACGCGGGATGATGTCGCCCCTTCGTAGGATCGACCGTAGGCGTCCGTCCCGGATGGGCGGAGTCTGTGTTGTAAAGTTGTTGAGAATCACAGCTAAAATAGCCTCGGAGCCCTCCCCGTGGTGTAACCGGGATCCTTCGAGCCGCCGCATCCTCTCACTCTCACTTACTGACAGTCACACAGAATGGTGAGTTCTATTAGCCTTACACATTGGACAGGCTCCGATTCAGACAGCTGTCAGCGCGTACGGAATTCCTATCAATCGATATTTGATACAACTCCGGCGCTACGAAATTTGCTTCCTAACGATTCTGGCCACTTGCTATTATCTTTCGCGAATTGCCAGTTTATGAATTTGAGCCTTAGTATCTTTACTAGTTGGTATTTTCCTTTATTTTGAAGAATTTACAAGATTTTTAACTTGTATTAGATCATTCTATACAGTTGGATTATCCATAATATTTTGTATTTATAGTCGAAGGCCGCCAAGAAGAAGTCCAGCAAGAAGCAGAGATCTGGATCTGAGGCCGCTCAGTTCGATCAGAAGACCATCAATGAATTCAAGGAGGCCTTCGGTATTATGGATCAGAATAAGGACGGTATCATTGATAAGGTAAACATTTGGTAAAGATTTCATTTGTAACTGCTTAATTAAGTAGTTAAGTAAGTTATGTTCAGAACGACCTGAAGGATCTTTACGCCACTATGGGACAAATTGCCTCTGACAAGCAGATCGACGACATGATCAAGGAGGCGCCTGGGCCAATCAACTTTACCGTCTTCCTGACGCTATTCGGAGAGCGATTGACAGGTGGCACTCCACCAATCGTCCCGATTTTTCTCGAAACTTCTCAGTCGTGAAGTAGATTAAGTTCAGGAACTGATCCTGAGGCCACAATCGTTGGTGCCTTTGCCATGTTCGACAAAAAGGAAACTGGAAAGTTGAAGGAAGAGGATTTGATAAAGATTCTGACAAACAAGCGAGGAGAGCCTCTTGATGAAGATGAAATCAAAGCAATGTACAAGGTAAGTTTTGTTCACCAATATTTGCTGTTTTCCATGAGCCCAGGCCATTTCATGGCTCATAACCCAAATTCCTACCAAGAGCCCCTTGTTTAGGGTAAACCACCAATTGAGAATGGCGAAGTCGACTACAAGGCATTCGCTCATCTCATCACCACCGGTGCACAAGACGAACTCGCTTCTGTGTGAACTACTGTCGCTCATCATCAGTTCCAATCGCTGTGGGAGCGACGCGAGCAGGAGCAGTATGGTGGTGATACTCAACCATGTTGCTCCAGCTCGTGCAGTAGGGCGCACTCGCGGTCGCATCGCGCTGTATCGTTTCATTCCGCGCATCTAATCCATAATTACCTGCCCGCCTTTCAGTGCTTTGGATAGTCCGTGTATGGCCAGGGTGGTGCGGCGGCCGCGGTAACCACCTTACGTGGGGACAACTCGTCCGATCGCGACCGCCGTCCGCTCCGCCCAGCGCGCGATACGGCTGCAGCGCGCCCACCTCCCACGGCTAGTTCTTCCCTCGCCATTCAAAAAACATCCTTCTTCCCTTTTCGTACGTACGTATGTTCGTTCCTTTTTGGTCTTGTCCATTCGCTTGTGCAAGATATGTTTCATATTCGAATTTGTCACTGACACAGATGTATTATAATAAAAGAGATCATGAAATTCAGTGTAGTTCGCCGATAAATGGTACTTGTTCGCCGGCCCATGGCTGTAGATCACCAGAAGCAAACTTCCAGAAAAACGCTGCTCCAAAAGCATAAACGGCCACGGTCGAGTAGAAGATGATGTTCCATTCGAGGGCACTCTGGAAATCAAAGAAAGGGTTCTCAGTTTTTTGCTCCTGGAAGAACTACCGAGAAAGAGACTTACTCCAGTTGTGACGACATATCCGACGATCAACGGACAGATCATTCCAGGTAAAGTAGCCAAAGTGTTTGAAATTCCCATCAAATGACCGGCAAACTGTGAAGTACATAGATATCGATCGGGGACAAATTTGTGTACTACGCGGAAAAAAGTTATCACCTGTGGTGCAAGATCCAAATGATTAACAGAAAATCCTGCCCAACAAATACCTCCCAGTCCAATGGATATTGAGAGGTATGCGACGAGAAATGGCGGTGACGACGTCACAGACGCCAAGGCGAGAAAGAGTCCTTGACCAGCAAAACCTAGAAAATGAGGATCATCTTTGAAAGTTNCGAAAAAGATTTCAGAGAGGATTTTCACGAATCAGGCCCTGTAGAGGTAGATCTAACAGGTTTTTCTCGGTATTCCAGTATATTTCTGACTCTTAGCAGATGTTTGAGAAGGGTACTTCGAACGAACCATTTTGCAATAGAGTAATCCAGGACCAACTTATTTTAGCATGAATGATACGAGTTAACCAAATAGTAATACTTAAGCGAAGAAATACTGTTCTGTGGTGGTCTTTCGAGCTCTGATACGAAGCTGAGAAACCGACACTTTGAAAAATCGGAATGAATTTTGACTACCTAAAAAAACCAAATCAATATCCATGACCACCTAGAGAGGATGATTGAAAACTACATTAACGAGAGGACACGATGCCCTCGAAACTTTAATAACTCAAAGTTTTTGATTTATAGCCGAGAACTTCATATCCCACAGATAATATCTAGTACAACTTCCAACTTGATTTAGTTACTGGAGTAAACATTTTTGCTTGGTATTACTCCTGCCCTTTTTTTATTCCACGGGGCGTACGGTTTTCTCCCGTTGTAGTTCCTACCCTCCGCGTTCACGGTGTCCTGATGATGTTCCCGCCTTTTTCGCTGCTAACCGGCTTCAAAAAGTGAAAAACAAAAAAGACTAACTTGTTATCAATTAGGCCCCTTATTTAAGTACTTTCCTTACTGGTTACTACAACGGAGCTCGGCCCAAATGAAACACATCTTTGTCGTATGCAACTCTAATTCCGAGCATTTTCAGAGGAAACAAGTTTTAGCTTTTTTGAATACATTGTTTTTGGAGAAGATCGTCAGGTGCTCTCGAACGCGGATCCCGAGCCTTTTCATCAGAAGTAGACCTCGGTGGTATGACCAACAAAAATATCGAATTCATGGTCCCACCTGCAACACAGAAACGCCGTCGAACAGTCAATGTGTCAATGTTGCGTTCCTTTCGAAGATAATCAGCCAGCTGTCCTCCCCAAACCAGTGTACATCCCATCATCAAATACGGTAAACCGGCCACAAAACCAGCCTGAAATACAAGATTTCCAAACAGGACATATCATTTTGGATTGTTTCTTCAAGTGCATCCAGGTTCCTATAGAGAAAGCCTTGGAGAGCAGGTAGCTCTGGTGCCCGTTCTTGGGAATCTATTTTTTCAACAACCCCTTTTACTGCTCAGCTTGTAGTAAAGGATTGATGCACTACTAGTATATGTTTTTCACATTTTAAGGGAGAACGATGGGGAAGGCTTGATACTTACAAGGTCATCCTCTATTTAATGTTAGCAGAAATTCTATGCGGACAAGTTTTTAACAGCTCCCTTACTGGTAGCTTCTTCACAAATCAGATCATTTTCCAAGCATAACGTGGTTATTCCCTAATTTTTCTCACCTTCACATTTATCTTAATGCTAATATGATGAGTAGTATAACTGCTTTGTTACTTAAGGGGCGGTACTGTCACCACTGCAAAATTCATTTCGGTGTTGAGGAGTCCTTAGCTTTGAAGGAATCTTCCATGACCTCCCTTGGCACCACAGAATCACTTACGGTATCCATATACACATTGAACTTACTGTAACCCCCTTCCTGCATCTCAAAAAGCAGAATTGTTTTGGTGAGTGTGCAAGCGAGGAACAAGACACTTTCCCGGAATCACTGAATTTCCCTGAGTCAGGGTCGTTTCGATCAGATAACCCTGATACAGAGCAATCTGTGAAAATAAGTGGTGATCGCTGTTTTAATTATGACGGAGGAAATCCAAAGAGATAAGTCTTCTTCTTAGTACATAATAGCCTGACTTCTAGAGATTTTTGTTGATTTAGTGGGGGCGTTCTCTGTGAAAAGTTCGACAGGTGCCCGCGTCCCATGTGTGCTCGCACGCATAACTCTGTCGTCTCTAGAAAACTGTCGCCAATCTCGAGACAGACAGGCTTCAACGATTGCCCCTGCAACCGAGCAACGCTATCCCATCCGTCCGTCCGTCCGTGTACAGAGCGCTTGAGAGAATGTTGAATGGATGAGGGGATGTGGTTGTAGGTGAGAGAATGGGGATGCCGAAGAGGCTTGCAAATAACGAAAGCCGCCTCGGCGGCTCACTCACTCCATCGTCATTGAGGAATGAGCTTTTCGCGATTTCTGGGGTACAATGGCAACAACCGCAGAAACTAATGACGGGGATTTAGTACACAATAGACACAATTTCTTTCTGGGAACCCCTCAGCCGCAAAGTCACCCCCACTCGGAACTTAGACATCTTCTACTGTATCCCAAAAGTACAAGTGTCGGGACCGTCACGTGGTCTCTTTGCATCTGTTTTACGGTACCCGAAATACTTCTGCTTTTCGCAATTATTTCAACATGTGTTCAGTTGCTAGTTGGGCCCATGTTGTAATTTTAGGAGATCATGGCAAATCGATATGTATGATTTGAACTACGACAGGCAGGTAGCAATTGCTAGTTCTTCCAAGAAGTCAGAAAGATTACAAACTACACAGCATTGCCGGCTGAACGCTCAAATCATCTATTTCTTTAAGAAGCTTCTTACTACGAGACGTTTCAACTAGTTAACTTCAACGAATGGCTATTGCACAGCTCAATATGGAAATACTGCAATTTAAAAAGTTCAAATTGAAAAATTTCAAGAAATCAAACCTTTTCCAATTCATAATTAGCCAGCTCTTTGAGCACTCTTGGCAGATGTGTGAGCATCGTATAGAAGCCCCAGTTTTGACAGAAATGTGCAATCATCACTGCCCAAACTGGTAAACTTTTCAACATTTCCGCCCATGGAACAATCTAAAATGTTAGAATTACTGGAGTAAAATATTAGTTGAGAGAAATGCTATCTAATAATTCGCTTTGCAAACGAATTTCTTGGCCAGTGCAGTGAGGAATCCTCAGAAACCGCAACTCAGAAGTGGCTTAAGTATACTCAAGAAATAATTTAGGATTAGTATTTCAACTTGAAATTTATTGAAGGGCTTGAAACCCCAGTTAAGAAATCATTTCACAGCTGACACCATCACTAGTATAATAACTGGTATACGAGTCCAACCTGACAAGGAGGAAAAGGTAAGGAATTCAATTTTTTACAATTTTTAAAACACGCTCTGATGTCAGAAATTGCGTACGTGGGACTCTTTGGCATCTTCCATAGTCCACGACCAGTCGCGCGACTAGTCGTGGACTATGAAAGATGCCTTTGAAACCCAGTAAATGCCGTCAAGAAGGTATGCTTCACAGCTTCTCTCATGGAAGGAATTTCTCACACTCTACTAACAATTTGATTGATGGATACAGTGGTGATCACGTTCTGCAGGTTCTTCATCTGCAAGACGACCGTGTAATCCCACGTTTCTCCACCTTGCTACTAAAGTACGCAAGCACGCCTTTTACAAGTTAAAGTTCAAGTCATTCTCATTATTTAGCCATCTTCTCTCCAGTGTACTTCACGTATTCACTTTCACTCCAATCTGTGATGATAGTTGATTGCGTAATTGACTTACAAAGTGACCAACATGGACCAATCAAAGTCAGGCCTTCCGAAAAAACTTGAACTAGTGAGCCAAACCAGTAAAGAAGGATTGTTAAGAATTGATTGGCTCAAGTAAGATTCGGCAGCAGCCCCAGCTACCAGTGTTCCATTCCCACTCACGTTCATTACAAAACACTTGGTCTGGATGATGAGGCTTATGCAGCTGTTCAAGGGAAGTTTATGATGAGTTTACAGGCCTACGTTGACAAATCTCGAAATTTAGGCTACTAAAAGGCTATGACAAAGCACAGTGGAAAGTAAAGGTGTTCTGGAAATCAGAATGAGCACACGGGAGACTTACTTGTTCAGCTTTTAAGTAGGAATCTTGGGTAGGACAGGGTACCCAGATGCAATTGCGCAAATTAGGGACAGAAAAGTTACGGAGAGTTTTCACCTCGACCAGCAAAATTTATAAAAACATGGATAATATTTACGGTGAGCTCTAATTGGAGAAATGCCAGAGCAGAGAAATTTTCCTTTACTCTTAACTAACTCCCTGGTTCTTAACAACATTGTCTAGTATATGTAGGCTTCCCTGAGCAAAAATGTCATCCGAGCCAATCACCTCAAACTTCTTGAACTTTTGTGTTTTTCGCCATTATTATTCATTATGTTTATCGTTTACGATGGCATTCCTACGTGGTCGTCAGTGCAGCATTCACCCGAAAGCATTCCACCTCATATACACACTCACATGTTTCCACAACGAAGGCGAGGGAGGGGAGGGAGAGTAGCAGTTGTGCTTCCTCGAACTCAGTGTAACACAACGATGCGATGGCAGCGCTATGGCAATCGCAACCAGGACAACCTGGGGATCCAGCCATGCCAAGGGCTGGTTTAGAACAGGTCCAAGTAGGTTTCTGCTACAGAACTGCCTAGGATCAGCTCCTAATCGCGCAGGTAAAGCCCTGTACGGTGGAAAACAGTGCTGCTATACAGATGATCAATTCAAGAAATTTTGCAGGTTTTGTAATGCTTGGCCTTGATTTTTTTAATATAAAAAAACAGCAAAGTATCCCGTGAAGGCTACCTTTGTATGTGAAAAAATTCGATAGAGACGGGACGAAGATACTTCGCCAAGTGTGAAGCCGCAAAACGAAAGACGGAACTTCCCGAAACCTACAGTTTCCTTAAACTGCATTTGAGCTTGCACTACTCGTCAAACAGAGTATTACCCATTTACTATTACTGTTATGTGGGAATCACTCCCGAGACAGAGCATGAAGGTTCAGCGGAATGACGAGGTCCAGTTATCGCCGACGTCACTACTTTACACTCATTCGCTTTCACTCATTCTCTTCATAAAAAAATTGAAAGTAGAAGTGATAGTGCCGAATTTACAGAGCAGGGAAGATCATTGGAAATTCGGTTTTTGAATTCCCACTCTCGCAACTGCATCGTCCGTGGGAAATGGATTCTCTGTTAACATGGAATCGATACGCCCAACCGTTTCAGTACCGCATGTGCTGTTCAAATAGACGAGCAGGCAAAACTCACATAATGAGTATGACTGATTGCGTCTCGCTGTAGAAGAGTAAGCTCTTCTGTTGTGATATGAGGATCTGTAGCCGGAAAATCGCTGACTCGTCTCGCCCATACAAGACACCAGAGAAGACCAAGAAGTCCTACAAACATCTTTCATCAGAAGATCTGCTTGATAAAAAACGTTTACACTTTCAG